TATATTGATATTACACTGCATAATGATTTAATTACACAAGGTTTTTTTGACATTCTAAATGAGTGAATTTTGTCTAAGTGAAGTGAACTCTCATTCTGGGATTTCCTTTTCCACAAAGAAAACATGTGGCTGAAATGAGGTATGAGGTATCTTATGGCATCATAATTAAGCTTCCTACCTTTTGGAACAGGCTTTGGGTGGGGATTATGCCTTATGATGCCTTAACATGCCGCCTATGGAGGCAGCTCACTAGATTTTGGAACAGAGCATCTGTCTGCTTCTCCCCTTCTCTCCTCCCATCTTTCTTTTTTGTGTGAATATGTGTGTGTGTGTGTGTGTGTGTGTGTATGTGTATGCGCACATGTTCGAGAAAGCAGGATTGATTGCCTGTGGCTGACATCCGAACACTACACCTTAAACACGACTGCAGGCTTTTAATCATTGATAGGCTTTTGCTGGAGTCAGGCAGGCTACGGGGCAGCCCTGCGCTCATGCCAGAAATGGCTGATTCACTCTATGCTCTTTCAGATCTTTTATTCAAGCCTTTATTTTATACATATATGTTGTTTGTGTTTAGTACATGTGCGACAGCAGGAGAGTGTGTTCAGATTGAGATGTATGTTTGTGTATGCGTGCGCTCCTCAGGGACTTGTGAGCACAGCCGCCTTTGAGACAGGCATAAAAGACAGAGGGACAAAAGAACAGATCTCTTCTTACAACTTTTTAATTCTGTAAGAATTTTCAAAACTGTAAGAAATCAAAAAAATGGTTTTATTCAAGCCACAAATATTATTTAACGTCACTCAACTAACTAAAACCTAACTGAAAACTAATTTAAAAATAGTTTTTAAGGTAATATTCGCAGGTTACTACATTTTACAGTATATATTAGTCAATGCTTGCATGTTTTTCATAACTTTTCACTGAACAATCTTTGCCACAGTATGGTCAAGCAGGGACATTATAGTTAACTAAAACTAAAATTAAAACTAAAAACATATAAAAATGCGTTGCTTCAAATTAAATGTAACATTAACTGGAATAATAGTTGTTGTTGTCGTTATTATTAAATGAAATATAAAAATGAAATATAAATGAATATAAATTTCATTAAAACTTATAAATTTTAATCAATTGTCTCTACATGAGATTTGAAATAATATAAATCCAAATATTTTTATTGTAGACATGACAACATCACTAAATGTAGAGATTTATAGTTTTAATTTGTATTTATATTGTTAAATTGCAGTGAATTATATTATATTATATTATAATAGAATTACTACAACTTTAACTACAATTAAAATGAAAATATAACAATAAAATATTAGGAAAAACTATAACAGTATCTTAGCAATACTAAACACTGCTGTCAAGTACCTCCTTTTGTAATCTTCTATCAAATTAACTCTTCAGCATTCTTGAAAATTGAAAATTCAGTCATTATTTATTCACCCTCATGTCATATTCTGCAGCCAATATTTGTGTAGGACAGATTGTAGTGCTGCTTTCTGGAGTGCAGTTCACTCCTTCACCAGATTTTATGGTCTAATTATGCAGTGTGAATGTGAAGCTAACCTTTGAGTCTTTGGTTCCTTATTTTCGGTGAACTGCCCAGCTTTCAGTAATTATCCTTATAATTTGCATTCCAACCTCTTGTTCTCTATTTAAACTAGCTTTTACTATTTTTACCCACTGATTATTAAAGTGAGTGACATGGCAAGTGTGAACTGGTTGCTCGCTGTATGCTAGTCTCAGCTTCAAGCCAATGAACCATCGACTGGCCATCTGGTTACACACAAAAACGGCAAGCTCCAGTCTGATTGGCTGTCTTCATTTCAGATCAGCTCACAGGGAAATAGCAACTGTAGAAAGAGATTTTCCTTAAAGGCTTTTGAAGCACTGTGCTCATGTGTCATAGATGTGTTCGATTTATAGTAGATTTGAACACATGCATATTAGCAGCACCTCTCAGTATTATTCATGAGACAGATGCTTTTTCAGCCAAGAACTGGCTACAAATACAAATTTGCATGATCCAAAAGTCCAAGGGATTTTAATGTGTTCCCAAGATGCAGAGAGACTGACAGCCCTTCTTTAAAGACCAACACCTCTGATTTGTTTTCATGGAAGAAATTTGTTTGTGACACTGTTTATTTTAATTGTTTATTTAAGACCAAGAGGATGATGATGATGATGATGATGATAACTATTCTTATTGATTTTGTTTACTTTTTATTGCTATATTATTATTATTATTAGTAGTAGTAGTATATGTTTTAAAAAACAACAACAACAATAATAATAATAATATGAATTATTATTATTATTACTATTAGTATATGTTAAAAAAAATAAAAAATATTATTATTATACAGGTCATATATAAACCGTTTTAAAAATGTGCCACAAAAAAGCACTTGTTGCCTTGTCCATATGTTTTAAAAACAACAGCAATATTTAATAATAATAATAAAAATTGCATTATTATTATTATTATTATACAGACCATATATAAACATATTATTATCATCATAAAACATAAAGACAAGTGAGGAAGACAGGGCTTGTTTGTGACACAGATAATTTGAATTGTTTACATAATAATAATAATAATAATAATAGTTTGACAAATTAATTAAGTTTTAAATTCGTGAAACATTTCCAAATGTAAAACTGAAACAAGATTTTGCCAGTTTTTTAGGTGTTTATTTGATTCCCCCCACAAATGCATTAACATGAATTGTGCAAAGCTGAGTGCAATACAAAGACTTATTTGTAAAATTAGAAACAACAGATACAATTGATGTATTTTTGGATTGTATATATTTGTTTGCGCAATTTTGAATTGTCTCATGCATTAGTGAGAATTTCTCATACGGTTTTTAACTACATAACAGTGAAAAAGTGGACTGCAGACAGTCAGGACTTTCTTTTCCCCACTATTCAAACTGTGCAGAGACCTGACCTGTGCTGAAAAGTGTAGCGTTTGACTTTAAGCACCCTGGACAGCTCCCGAGCACACAGTGTGCTCATCTCTAATGCTGCTGCTGATATCCACACAACACAATGCAGCCTCTCACACACCACAAGCTCTACAGTACATCCTAATGCCATCTTGATTTACAAACCGCTTCGGTCCAGTTCTTGCCCCACTCAGTTTTGCATGTGTAATTTGTGGAGTTATTTGCGTATGATTTCACACAGAGGTTTGGACGGCGAACACTTTTTCATCTGCACTGGATTTTTTAATGCTTCCTCTGTCTCTTATCTTATCCTGGTCCTTTCTCTCTCTTCTCTCTAGAGATTAGGAAAGAAAACAGCACAGATTCCCCCGTTCTCTCTATCTCTCTAACACACACACATGCTCCCTCCCCCACTGATAGGATCTCTAGAGGATGGAGTGGATTAATGACCTCGCTGGAGAGGGCCAGAGCTCTCCAAATCACCCGCTCATGATCACTGTGTGTGTGTGTGTGTGTGTTTTACACTGCCACATATGCTTATTTCTGCTATATATATATGCAAGCAAAACCAGTCGCACTGTTGCATTAAATTCAACCGGCTGAAAGCCAGACCCGTTCAGCCATGAATTCAAGGCGATCTGAGCGCTGCACACAGAGCTGTCCTTGTCTTCCTTGTTAATTATATACACCAGTCTCCTGCTGTGTATTTGTTTGTCTCCACAGCAGTTTCCTCTCTTCCTGTGACAATATTTAGCAGACCTCCAGTTCTCCCAGTGGAGAGCCTGTCCCCCTCCCTCCGCTCCGACTGCAGGCTTCAGCAGGCCCATATACCACTGTGATAGGAAACATATGGACAGAAACACTACACAATCCGGCGGGCTTCATATGAGCAGCTCTAGTTAATGCTGCTCGCACTATTTCTCATATTTAGGAGTGGGATATGAAGAAAGCTCTCAGTATTACAATGTTTGTGCTACATGAATGATATTTATTTGTTGAGTTATCAGACATGTGATTTTCTTCTGGTGAATAATAAAATGGGCAAAAAGTATATATATATATATATATATATATATCCCAAAGATGGACATTGCATGAGGGACTGAAGTCATGTTTAGATACCAGAATAATATAGAGACGTAACAACAATGCACTAAAAATTACACAGAAAACCTTGCGACTGCATAGCAACTATCCCCAACATCTCAACTTCTTACATTTAACATAATCTTCTTCAAAATTTTTTTTTTAAAAAAATCATTATATTCATTATGTCATTATTTCTTTCTTTCTTGTAACACTTGACAATAAGGTTCACATGATTAATGAATGAATTAATGAATCACTAATGAATTAACTAACAATGAACAAAATTTGAATTATTCTACACTACTGTTTAAAAGTTTGCAGTCAGTATTTAAAAAAAATAAAACTCTTATGCTTACCAAGGCTGCATTTATTTGATCAAAACTACAATAAAACAGTAATATTGTGAAATATTATTATATATACAGTAAATATTATTTTATGTTTAAATATATTTTAAATTTTTTCTGTGATGGCAAAGCTGAATTTTCAGCAGCAGAAATCATTCTAAAATGCTGATTTGCTGCTGTATATTTATTTGTTGATTGATTGATTGGTTGGTTGTCAGTGTTGCATTTTTTGATAAATAGAAATTTTAAAAGAACAGCATTTATTTGACATAACATTTTTGCAACATAATTAATGTATTTACTATGACTTTTGATCATTTTAATGCATTCTTGCTGAATAAAAGTATTAAATTAAATTAAATTAAATAAAAAATCTTACAGACCCCAAACTTGTGAATGGTACTGTAGGTTAATGTTTGCGCAATCATTAATTACAGATGAACAATATTATATTTGTAAATTACCATACACCTAGAATAATAATGCTGTAAAACATGTTCATTGTTAGTCTATGATAACTAATATCATTTAATAATAACATATTTTTAACTTCTTTCTTTTCATTTAAATTTGCGCTTTTCTCTTCACTTTGCAGCCAAAAAAGCAGCCGACGGTTCTGTCATCCCGAACGGCTACTGTGACTTCTGTCTAGGAGGCTCTAAGAAAACAGGCTGTCCTGAAGATCTAATTTCCTGTGCGGACTGCGGCCGATCAGGTGCGACCAAAGCCATGTAAGCTCCGCTCGAAAATGGGGTTTATTAATTTTCTCAACATATTACCTTCTTCTCGGGCTCTTGCAGGTCATCCGTCGTGCCTGCAGTTCACGGTCAACATGACGGCGGCGGTGAGGACCTACCGCTGGCAGTGCATCGAGTGCAAATCCTGCAGCCTGTGCGGAACATCAGAGAACGATGTAAGTCAACTGAACGAAGCAACTTACTTTTCCAGTGGACTCTTTGTTGTGTTTTCTGAACTGTTTAATCCAGGGCCCCAGCGCTGGTGTTTGGGGACATGTGCATACAAGGATCAACTTGCATTATTTTTACAGGATCAGCTTTTATTCTGTGATGATTGTGACAGAGGGTATCACATGTATTGTCTAAGCCCCCCTATGTCGGAGCCTCCGGAGGGTATGTGCTATGTGTTTAAAATTGATGTGTTTAAAAATGAAATAAAAAAAAGAATCGTATTCTTAATCACTATTTTTGTATTTGTAAAAATGCATAAAATAATATAGAGTCCTAGGAGTTATTTTCATGTATGTTCAAATATATAGTTCAAGTATATAGTTATTTTCATATAAATTTGTATAAATATACAAATAAGTATATATATATATATATATATATATATATATATATATATATATATATATATATATATATATATGCACACACACATATACAAGTATACATATATAATATTAAGAAATTGATAGATAGATAGATAGATAGATAGATAGATAGATAGATAGATAGATAGATAGATAGATAGATAGATAATTTCAACATTTACCAATAAATTATTCTTGGAGTAGAATATATAATTTTTTATACAATATTTATATCATATAATTAACATCAATTAATAAATACTTCATTAACAAATACAATTTATACAATATTTTGTGTGTTTTTTTTGTTTGTTTTAAGCATAAATCTTGCTAATCTAGTGGTTTTTTTTTTTATTAATTAACATCAATTAATAAATACTTCATTAACAAATACAATTTATACAATATTTTGTGTGTTTTTTTTGTTTGTTTTAAGCATAAATCTTGCTAATCTAGTGGTTTTTTTTTTTATTAATTAACATCAATTAATAAATAATTTTTTTTAAATACTGTAACAAATGTATTGTTCATTAATACTTAATGTTAGTCAGTGCATTACCTAATGGGACCTTATTATAAATTGTTATCAAAAATACTAATAAACAATAATAAAAAATCTAACTTTTGCCTAAATATATAATATAATATAATAATGTTTGTGTATAATGTATAATGTATAATGTATGTTGCATAAATCTAGCCCATTTTATAGAGGTTTGTGCATCCAACAACAAACCAGTATTTGCTAATGTGATAAAAACAAAAACAAACTAAATTCAAGATATATTCTCTCAAAACAAAAAGAAAAAAGACGAAAATACTGATAAACAATACATTTCGCAGTGTACAAGAACTGCTATTTCTAAATTTGGCCAAATATTACACTCTTAAAAATAAAGGTGCTTCACGATGCCATAGAAGAACCTTTTTGTCTAAATGGTTCCATAAAGAACCTTTAACATCTGAAGAACCTTTCTGTTTCACAAAAGATTCTTTGTGGCGAAAGAAGGTTCTTCAGATTACAAAAAGCTAAGGAAGAGATGGTTCTTTAAAGAACCTTTGGCTGAATGGTTCTTTGTGGAACCAAAAATGGTTCTTCTATGGCATCGCCTAATCATATTTTTAAGAGTGTACACGCCTCAATATTATACAACATTTGTGGCTCTTCCTTTGCAGGGAGCTGGAGTTGCCATCTGTGTCTGCGCCAGTCTCAGAATTTCGAGTTTATATCTCACAGTTCTGACGCACATCAGTCCCGCAATTCTGACTCAAAAAAGTCTGAATTGTGAGATATAAACTCGAAATTAATGTTAAATTTTTTTTTATTCCATGGATGAAATAAGATTCTATAAATATAAACATTGTTCCGCCCACACCCGCTCGTAGCAATCAAAACGCTAAATAAAATTGCATTTATTTTTTATTTTGTGACAGAAATAAGCTTTCATAGATACAGTATGTGCGTGAAAAGCGGGAGAAAGAAATGACTCGTGGGGTAAAATATAAATGTCAAGTTAATCAATTTTGTTAGTTTTTATGAAATAGGCACAACAAAAAATAAACAATTTACAGGTGAAGGCTTGGATATTCTCAATGTTTTTCTTTTTTATGCGACAATTCCATTGCCTGCTGCGACAATTGCAACAAGTTGTTCACATATAGCACACACAAGTCTGGCACTTGAGATCTGTGAGCGCTGTGTGTGTGTGGTGCCTACATCACACTAACCTAATCTCCGTCCCTACTTCACCCTAGCAGTCTCATCCTACTCTAGCCCATCATCACAGATCCAAAGAGACTCCCCCAGCATCCACCAGAAGAGAACATGTTTCATCTGCCCATTGCCTGCATGGTGACTGCAAGGAAAACGTAGGGTGCGATTAACATTTTTGTATGTCAGTTGGGACTCGAGCAGACCTTTCCTCAACAGTCCCTCCAAAGAGTTCTTTCCTTCATGGATCAGAGAGGTCTTCTTCTTGTTTGACTCCATCTTATGGTGGTTAGACAAGTAGTGCCAAACGGTTTGTCACTGAGGAGACATTTTGCACGAGTTTGAGGGGGGGGGGGGGGGGGGGGCGGGTCAGGGGGAGGAGTCTCTGTGACATCATTACATGACGCACCAACTGCAAAAGAGACGAGCTGACCCTATTACCTGTGGTTGGCCTGGCCGTGCATCACTCAGAAAACAACAGGCCAATCAGAAGAGAGGCTCATGAATATTAATTAGACAGGCCAAAATCGACCTGTATCGACCAAAATCGAAGGAGCTGTAAAAATATATTGAGATGGTTGTTGGTACTTATACCGCAAATATATATTCTTAAGGGACCTTTAAATCAAAGATTAAATTTTATTTGGATCTTTTGGAACAATTGCAAAAGTAGTTCAGCTAATAATGAAAAACACTAATTTTGACGAATGCACTGGTTGCTATTTTTCATCCATTTACAATGAATAGGAACTGGAGCTTTCAATCTTCAAAAGGGACAAATGTACCATAAAAGTTTCATAAAAGTATGATTAGGTCAAATGATTAGTGCACTATAGTCTCCTACACTCTCAGAAAAATTTAGGCTACTGTCACTGGGGCGATAAAAGCTAAAAAGCATATATTTGTACCTTATTTACTCCTAAATGTTGGGCCTTTATTTTAGCCTACATGTACATATTAATACGTTAAACGTACATATAAAAGTACTATTAAAACTTGTAGGCACATTGCGTAGATTCTTTTTTTATTTCACAATTAATTTATAATGAAAATAATTAACAACGAATGTGATTATCGATTAATCGAGTCTGTGCACAAATACATCCCATTTATAGAACTAATTAATGCTTCTATGAAAAAAAAAAACGTATCTGTAAAATGAGTAAAGAGAACTTCAAGGAAAAGTACATGAAACTAAACATGAGGATATACTTTATACTTGATATGCGCTTACAGATATTGCTGTTTACTACGTTTTTCTCAGCACATAACTTACACTTTACTGTTGTATCCTCATCTGCACGTTAGAAAATCACTCAGTTATTTCCATTTTCTATAAAGAGGATTGTCGTCCAGCAAGGAATCTCGGTTAAACTTCACATGACTTGAATTATTGAAGTGCGCCGGCGATAAAAAGTTGATCTAGTTCACATATTTATACACGTTGGAAGGGAATTACCTTTTTTAAGCTATTGTTCAGCATTAGCTTATTAGGTTTACTTTGAAATTTTGTTAATTAAATGCTTACATTTTTTTGTAATCTGTCTCTAAATGTTTGTATCTCAGGGGATACGTTGCCCTTGCAGGGGTAAAAATCAAGATATAAAAACAGACTGTGATTTTGTGGCTTGTGTTTTAGAAAATCAAACCTTTTTGTGATCTTGACAAAACACATATCGTTGAAAACGTCTGACAGTCAAGGTTCCATATTTGGTGACTGTTTTGTAATAGAATTAATATTGTGACAGAAATTGATTAATTTGTGACAGAAAACTGCATCAAAAAATCAATACAGTTAGTGTTTATTTTTGGTATAGTGCCCAAATAAAATCTCACAAGAAGCACAATTTTTGTGATATAAACTTCAAATTTGGAACATAACTTGGTTAGACATATGGCTATAAATGTACATTTATTTATATGGCTATGGCTCAAATATAAGAGTCAAGTTTTGAAAGAAAAAAAATCATGAAATTGTATTATTTGAGTTCCAATAAGATGGAAAATAGCAATCATTTAATTTCTGATGTCTCCTTCTGGTTTTGCACTTTTTAGGGTTAAATGGTAAGCAATCAACTTTTTTTTTTTTTTGCATACATAGATACATTGACTATTTGTTTTCATAACCATCAAATTGCAATGATTATTATTTTAAATAATATTTATTAGATTTATCAGATTAATTGACATTACATTAATCGATTATATAAATTCTCGTTGGCTGCAGCCCCAATTTAATGAATATTTCACAAAGCAATAGACAGAGGATTTTCAACGATACTATTACTGCAAACTTGTCTCAGGCCTAACAGAAACCCCACAGCCCTTGAAAGAGTGCAGAAAAGAGCTGTTACTCATTTCACATGCGAAGAGAGTGTGCATCTAGACGTCTTAAAGGCACAGCAGTGAAAAACGGCCTGTTAAATTCTAAGAGGGACATAAAAGCGGTGAAAATGAAACATATGTCTTGGTGCAAAATAGCCTTGACTAAATTTCAGACCTTAGGTCGAAAAAGTGTAGCACTTTTAATACTTACAAACAAATTGGTCAACATATGCTTCCTCCGCTAGTGCAAGAAAACTGACTGGCTGCAACCATTTTAAAACTGTTTGTGGGATAAAATGAGGCTCTTTTTCTCTCTTTCTCTCTCTCCTACAGCTAGAACATTACATCTTGATAAATGACATGCAATCTAGCAGACACGCTGTACTGTAAAGCTGTGCTTTTAATTGGAAGAGTGAATTGTAAAACAGATATTTGCACCTTCTGCCTGCCTGTTGTGGAGAAACACAGTTAACTAACCAGTAATCGGTCTATTTGTGCCACACTTTTTACATTTTGTTTTAATGATTTAGTCTAAATCCAGAGTTAAAAAAAGGAAAAAAATAAGTAAAGTACACTTTCCTTTTCCAAACACAATTCCAATATGCCTATCCTTTCCATGCTAACTTGACTTTTACCAAACCCCAAAATTTAAAGCCGTTTACACTAAAATCTGAATTTGGTCCAGAGCATTCAGTTCTAAATCAAAAATGTCTTGTGTTTATTTGTTTTTTTGTCTTGTGTAATTATTTGTGCATATTTGTTTGAGTTTGTGTGTGCATGTGTGTGTGTGTGTGTGGGGGAGACTCCAAGCCAATTACCACATCCACCAGACAGCCTCAGACTGCCTGCTTTCCTTCCAATAAGAGCACGGTTGCAAAGAGCTGGGGCCTGAGGTGGTTGCCATGGCAACTCAGGGGCTGCTTGCATGGCGGATGATGCTGGGGTGATGGATTACAGTAATGGGATGGGGTGTGCAGGGAGGGAGGGGTGAGTGGAGAGAACTCATGCATAAATATATTGGAAATGTATGAATACATCTGAAATGCATAGACTTAAAGGACACAGAGGAGGAGAGTGGATGGAAGATGTTTGAGACTGCCACGGGTCTGAAAATCACAGATATGTAGCTTTTTAAAGGTACATTATCTCAAAGAGTTTCTTTTGAAACCATTTCATAAAGGTATGTGATACTGGACTTAAGCCAACTTGTGTGATGGTAATATGTAAGATTTAACTGTTAAAAACATCTATTTAAATAACATGTAATAATATACTTTATATGAAACTCACACATTTCTTCAGATGGCTTTACTGAATGATGAACTGTTAATGTTTCAGCATGACTGTCAGATGTATGATCAATGTTATTTTCTTTCATCGTAGCCTAATTATTTTTAGATTTACTTTAGTAGCGTTATATCATAAAATCAATAGGTTAAGATAATTTAAGTACAAATATATATAGGATGAGGAAAATATGGATACAAATCTTAATACAAAATATACAATTCTAGAGCTGTTCTTATTTTTCTAGCTTTTTATATATTCTGTAAGAATCTGAGGCCCAGAGACCTGCTGAGTTCTGATGGCACATGAATTCTGTCACTATTCTGCCATCTAGTGTTAGTTAACTCTGTAAAGCTGACTCAGACACAACCTGTATATCGACAATTTGCAAATATGTTTTGGACAATAGTATGAGAGTATGGCAGCTGATCTTAACAGACTTCTTAAAAAACCAACAAAAACCTGCCGCTTTACTGAACAAAAAGCCAAAGAAAATCACTATTTTGACATGCACCATGTAGCATAAACCTGAAATTAATGCTGGATTTAGCTCAAGGGTTTATATATTTATTTATTTGTCACTTAATTGCAGTATGCAGTATATTCAGGTTGTGTCTTTATACTATCTATCTATCTATCTGTCTATCTCTCTCTCTCTATATATGTAAAAATTAAGGTAAATATAAATAAAAACAACAACAACAATAAAATATAATAAAAAACTAAATTATATATATATATATATATATACAATGTCTTTTTAGTGATAGTTTTAATTCCGTTTTACTCTTTAAATTTGGCTGAAAACTGATAAAAGGGTGTTTAATTCCAGATTTCAGTTTGTCACAAAAGTTGTTCAGTGAACTATGCTTTGCAATAACTGTGAAAATTGCATTTTTAGGCAAAACGATACACATAGACTGATTTTCAAATATAATAAAATAGTAGAATAAAATTATAATAATA